AAAACTGGGTATCACTTTGTGATACTGTTAGCGTCTTGGGACCATTTGGGTCTGGCACCCATCAACTCTGGTGTGTTCTCAGCCCACTTCAAGTTTGTGGATGAGATGTTGTAGTTCCCTGCTGTTCCCCCTTTGTTGAACCATATATCATTCTCTGTTGGGGTCTGAAGGGGCTGGGCCCACGGGATTTCTCTGGAATCACCGTACATTTTTGCCTTTGTCTCCTTTGTTCTTCTCTCTTTACCCACGCCCTATATTCCTTCCTTTGTTTTCACTCTTCAGTCCCCCCAGTATGGTGGCTTTCTGTACATTTGTCGCCTCCTTTCCTTTTCAGCGTACAGTGGTACCTCGCTTACCTATTGCCCCGCATTACGATGAAATTGCTGTTGTGACAATCTTTGTGACAATGGTCTAAATGGGGGAATTTTGCTTTGTGCAATCATCGGTTCCCTGCTTCGGGAACCGATTCTTCGCAAAACGATGTTTTTTTAACAGCTGATCGGCGGTTTCAAAATGGCTGCAGGGTATTTAAAATGGCTCCCCGCTGTGTTTAGGGACAGATTCCTCGCTATACAGGCAGCAAAAATGGCCGCTGTATGGAGGATCTTCACTGGACAATGAGTTTTTACCCATTGGAACGGATTGAACGGGTTTCAATGTGTTTCAATGGGGTTTTTAATTTCGTTTTACGATGTTTTTGCTTAACAGCGATTTTCCTGGAATGGATTATCGTCGTTAAGAGAGGCACCACTGTACTCACTAGGCACCTTGAACTTTACCTACTCTGCTGTCCAAGGCTCTTCCTGGATCAACTCTACTTTCTCTTCCCTGACATACTTCTCTCTCCCCCCCTCCTTCTCTCTCCCTCTTATCCTCCTCCTTTCCCACCTGATTTGCACCCCTTCAACTTCTTTTATTTCTAGTTGTCTTAATTCTTTTTCTATCGCTCCTGTCTCTTGTGCTTCTGCCTTTATTTGAGAGGCAGACAGCACATTCTCCTGATCCTGGGTGAGGTGGCTCATCGCCTCAACAGAGGCACAGAGGGGAAAATTGAACTCCCAACCTCTGGCTCCACAGCCTGATACCTAAGCCACTGAGCTAAGGGGAAAACTAATTTGGGGAGTTGTTATGTGCCATAAAGTCAAGCTGCTTCTTGTTTCATTTCTACTGGAAAGGTTGGACATCATCATGACTATTCTGACTTTCGATGTAGTAGTACTCAACAATGGTTCTGTGCTGTATCCAAACACAATCCCTAAGTCTCAGCCGCCTGTAAGATCTTCTCTGTCTTGCATTTCTTTTCCAATCTGTTTTTTTGTGAAGAAACAGCAACAATGATGTACTTTTCCTTTCTCTACACATAACCAGTCTAGCCTTCTACATTTTTTTATTTTATAGCATCTCAGTCTTTACTTATTTGAGAATCAGCTCCTCCTTCAATCAAAAATATTGTAACCATCCTGCAATAGGGAAGCCTCAGCATCCCTCTATACAGCTGGAACTACACTACTGCTCTGCATCTGAAACTTGCCCATGTTCCCAGCCTGTCCATAAAATTTCATCCAAACAAAACTAAGACTAATTTAAAAACATGGTGGTGGTGAAGTCCCCTCAAGTCACTTCCAGTTCATAGCAACAAACGTAAGGTGTTCAAGGCATGTGAGATGCACAAGGTGTATTGTAAGGAATTCAACTATGGCCTCTCCATTCATTTTGCTTCACTCTACTCATAATACCGCACATGGTGTTGATGCCAATATAGTACGTGTTTGTATACCTAATTTCCGTTGGAGACAAAGCCAAAAATCCCCGCTGTCCTTCATCTACTCGATAATTGATGACTAATTGGTTACCACAGAGAAATCCCTTTCCTTCCTGGGCTGGATTTCTGACCTTTTGATAACTTTATTTATTTAGAATATTTTTACCCCACCGTTCTCCTTGAAGGACCCAAAGCGGCTTAGATCATTAAAAGACAATGTTCAAATCTAAGAACAAATAGTAGAGGACCCAACAAATATATTAAAAGGCTGTAAAAAAACAACAGCCAAACCCACATTTAGAGCAGTGAGGCGCAACCATCAAACATGTCATTTGCACGTATTTTATTTGACAATTAAAAAAAAAATCGCTCAGGTAACTCGCTGCTTTCTACGGTTTCTCCAGTTGGGAAACACTCCACCGCTTAACCCGCCTTAAGTGGACACTTTTCAAAAAAACGCTAGGCCGCAGTCCAATCGCCACGACGACACTTCCGGTTCCCGGTACGTCTGTCAGACGCGCTTGTTCCGCTCACCCCCGTTTGCAGCGGCCGTAAAGCGAGCCTCGTAGGCGGAAGTAGTGGTGAGACGGGAGAACGTCGCGCCCTGGGTGAGAGAAAGGGGCGCCGAGGCGCTTGTTGTTTGGGGCTTGGGCCGGGCTGGCGTGTGCTTGTGGGCGAGGGAAGGAGGCCTGACTGAGTCAACGTAACGCCCTGGTTTGCAGAGGCAGTCTTGGACACGACTGCTCGTATTCCTCAAAAGAAGAAGAAAAATTCCCCCTTCCTCTTTTAAGAGGTCGCAGTCCAGCTGTACCTGTTTTCTAGTATAAAAATAAACAAGATTTGAAAATTGGCTTCACCAGTAATGGCTGCTTGCTGAGGAAACGTGTAGTTTACGTTGGTGGAGTGCTGGGAGTCGATTGGAAATCCCTCGCAGTTCCGTAGAATTGCCTTTTCCGGAGAACAACTGGCTTGAAACCTTGTTTGTTTGTTTCCTGTCGTAGAGGAAAGGAATGTGTAATTTAAAGTTTGCTATCTGTGTCACTATTTACCGTCTGTTATAGGCACATTAGCGGGAGTACTTAAGACCGAACTAGCCAAGATGGTTTCACAGTGATCGACTAGACGCCTCAGGGGAGTCCGTGGACAGGGCGTGAAAACGCTGGTGTTCCCTTCCTGTTGTTGAGCAAATGATGCTGAAAGTCATTGCACTAATTATGGATTTTTCTTTTCAACTTCATATACTGTAGTAACCTGACAGACGAATGGTGTTTTAGATGAAGTTTGTCACTGTGCAGTTTCCTTTTGCATTCATAGAATTTTATTTTCTACTTTTAATCTTCCTGTATTTTCCCACATTATGTCCTTTTTTCCCCCCACAAGAAAGCATTTTAACAGGAAATGATGGAACTGCTGCAGTACATTTAGACTTTGCTGGTGATTAGAACTGGCCACCTGGAAGTATAGTACTCTTATTCTCCATTGAATAATGACAATGAATTGTCATGTTGAAGCTATCCAAGCTACCACTATTGTGGTAATAAATTGATCAGAACCTTGTTTTTTTAAAGCCATGCTGAAAGCAAGAAAAAACCTAGATAATACAGTATTTTGTTTCTACGGCAGCTGACCAGAAATCTACAGGAAAGCTTAAGTTGAATACATGAGAGCAATACTGCCATAATTGAAAAAAAAATGCTTTATCTGTATATTCCAGAATTCTTACCTATCATATTCAGAAATGATCTTTATCTCCTGAGAAATCTATATGTGTGACAGGAAGCAACAGAACTGAATATGGAACAATTGATTGGTTCAAAATTGGGAAAGGAGTAAGAAGGCTGTATATTGTCTCCCTGCTTATTTAATTTATATGCAGTATACATTATGCGAATGGCTGAACTGGAGGAATCCCAAGATAGAATTAAGATTGCCGGAAGAAATATCAACAACCTCTGATATGATACCACTCTAATGGCAGAAAGTGAGGAGGAATTAAAGAACCTCGTAATGAGGGTGAAAGAGGAGAGTGCAAAAAAATGGTCTGAAGCTCAGCATCAAAAAAAAAACTAAGATCATGGCCACTGCTCCCATCACCTCCTGGCAAATAGAAGTGGAAGATATGGAGGCAGTGACAGATTTTACTTTCTTGGGCTCCATGATCACTGCACATGGTGACAGCAGCCATGAAATTAAAAGACGCCTGCTTCTTGGGAGGAAAGCGATGACAAACCTAGGAAGCATCTTAAAAAGTAGAGACCTCACCTTGCTGTCAAAGCTCTGCAGAGTAGAAGCTGTGATTTTTCCAGTAGCAATATATGGAAGTGAGAGTTCGACCATAAAGAAGGCTGACTGCCGAAGAAATGCTGCTTTTGAATTGTGGTGCTGGAGGAGGCTCTTGAGAGTCCTCTGGACTGCAAGGAGAACAAACCTAGCCATTCTAAAGGAAATCAACCCTGAGTGCTCACTGGAAGGACAGATATTAAAGCTGAGGTTCGAATACTTTGGCCATCTTTTGAGAAGACTCCCTGGAAAAGACCCTGATGTTGGAAAAGTGTGAAGGCAAGAGGAGAAGGGGACCACAGAGGATGAGATGGTTGGACAGTGTCATCGAAGCTACCAACATGACTTTGACCAAACTCCGGGAGGCAGTGGAAGACAGGAGGGCCTGGCATGCCCTGTTCCATGGGGTCACAAAGAGTCGGACATGACTTAACAACTACACAACAACGAAAATGGTCAAATGTTATAGCCTTGCCTTATAACATAAGATTTGTATAAAAGGAGCTCTAATCTATTGACCATTTGCCTTGCCTTATAACATAAGATTTGCATAAAAGGAGCTCTAATCTATTGACCATTTTAATTGCCACTTTCCTTCAAGCTTTATCTTGCATAGTTATGTACTTTGCATCTAGTACTTTTTGTAGGAGGCTCAGAATGGCTTAAATCTGTACAATTTTTCACTTTTGACTTTAGCAAGAATCAGTCTACTAAGGTAGGCTAAGGCATGAGAACTAGCCTAAAGTATCTTATAAAACTTTGATAGTAGTCATTTAGACTTAGACTGTCAATGGCTATATTCACGAGTCATAAGAATGTCTGTTATCTTTTGCAAAATAAATAGTATTTAGAAATTATTGTGCAATTGTAGTTTTGTGAATTATTGTAAATTATTGTACAGTTTTATTGATTTAGACAACATCTTATTTTCCATAATATTTTCTTATTTTTCTTTGCAGCACTATGGACCTGATCTTTACTCGTGGAAAATCTGCTATCCTTGAGCGGTCACTCACACGACCCAAGACGGATGTCAGCCTCAGTGCCTTCTCCCTGTTATTTTCTGAGATTGTGCAGTACTGTCAGAACAGGGTTTACTCTGTTTCTGAGCTTCAGAACAAACTTTCTGAGCTGGGGCAGCAGGTGGGAGCCCGTATCTTGGATGTGCTGGTGATGCGAGAGAAAAATGGTAAGCGCGAAACCAAGGTCATCAACATTCTGCTCTTCATCAAGGTGACAGTGTGGAAGGCTCTCTTTGGGAAGGAAGCAGACAAATTGGAGCAAGCCAATGATGATGACAAGACTTACTATATCATTGAGAAGGAACCTCTCATCAATACTTATATTTCAGTTCCCAAGGAGAACAGTACACTCAACTGTGCCTCTTTCACAGCTGGCATTGTGGAGGCCATGCTGACATGCAGTGGTTTTCCTGCCAAAGTCACAGCCCATTGGCATAAGGGTACCACCCTCATGATCAAATTTGATGAATCAGTTATAGCACGTGACAAAGCCCTGGATGGGCGCTGACTTCATTTGGGGCTGAATTGAATTGTACTTTGCCAGTATTCTGAAATAATTTCCCAGTTCATGTTTGGATGATATGTAGTACCAGAGACAAAGGTCCATTTCATATCAGAATAAGGCATTTTGTTCATAAACTGATGCTGACAGTGAATATTTCTATAGCATTTTCATTCATTGTGTTGGGTCGTTCCTATTTCCTGAATCTGTTCCTTTACTCCTTTTAAAGACTGAGGATTGAAAAGAAGATGGAGTTTAGTGTTTCCCTACCAGGAGAAAGATAATTTATGCAGGTCCAAGATATGTGCAAGTTGATATAATGCATTAGTATCTTGTATTTCTTTGCTGTGTCCCAACTAAGGTTGTGTCTAGAAAATACTAATGAAGGGGGTGTATTGCTGGGTCATCAGTTTCAGAATGAACAGTGCCTGATCATTCTGTTGCTGCTAGCCTCTTTCAGTTATTGCTGAATATGTCCGCCTGCTTATCTCCAGGATCAAGCTGGAGCTGCCTTGGTGGTACTTTGTACAAATTACACAACCATTTTCTTTTAGATAAAAACAGAGAGATGTGTGGTTCATTACACAATAAAAGTTCAGAAGAGGTCATATTCTGCTTTCAAGCGTAATGGCAACAGATATCGCAATCTGTTTCTGCCATTATCACCTGCAAATGCAAAATTTTGAAATTCTGTTCTTTGAGAGTCATTCCAAGAACTGTTGTCACTGGACATTCTTATCAGCATGTGAATCAGTTTAGTTTAAAATATAGTAAACTGTAACTTATTTTAAATTGTAAAATAAACTTGATATGTTAAACCAGCCAGCTGGACAATCCAGGTTTTGTAGTCCCCTCATTTAGTGATTGATGTGGTCTGATTCTTAGTTTGCACATGATGGAAGTCCTTAGCCATTTGGCTTCATGCTCAATGTGAATTCCCCAACACTCTTGAAATAATTTATTTTGCAGAACTCTTATTTAAATCATTTCAAATAATTTCACGAAGAGAAGACTAAAGGTTTTGAAGAATTGATTTATCAGTCCACACATTCTATAAAATACCATTTCCAGAAGTTGTTTTGTCTGCCTGCCAAAATCTGACACTAGCCCATGTAATTCCTGTTTTGTGCATGGCACATTGCATGGAATTCTGATATTGCCTATTGTTTGAACTGGAGTCGATATGACTGGTAAAGGACACAGCTTAGCCTTGGCCTTGTCAAATATTGCCTGTTCTTTGGAGTCGATATGACTGGCAAAGGACACAGCTTAGCCTTGGCCTTGTCATGCGGAGTCCCTTGTCTTTGGCAGGTGTCACAGCTTTGACAATATAATGTGACCTGCTTTCCCATCCCAGCAATCCTTTGCTTAATTCGTGAGATCCCTAGATAGGCTGCAAATATGTCTTTGTGTTCCTTTTCTATAATTCTTTCTCTATATTTGAAGATAATCACTAGTTGTTTATGTATGCTTTCCCCTCCCCTCTTAGGATTCACTAGGACCTCTCTGTATAATAGGTCTTCCTTCACACAGTATCTTTCAGGGGTCAGGGGCCCTTTCTTAGGTTGTCTAGAGCATTCACTTAAGGTAGGGTCTCCTTTTTGTTCTTTTATGAAAGACTGATTATTAGGATTCCTCATAGTGACTAGATCAACTGTTTCATTCCCTTCTATTATTTCAGCAGGGTTTTCATATTTTTCCTCAGGGGCTTCACTTTGCCCTCTCTGGGAGCGAGTTGTTACTAAAAGACTCTTCACATGCTCAGATAGATCCAATCCTATTAAGCATCAGACAGGAATTTGGTCGGATATGGCCACTTTCCAGACAGGAATTTGGTTGGATATGGCCACTTTCCTACTTCCCGCCCACCCCTTATATTTTATTAGAATTTTAGCTATTTGCAATGTCATTTATTCGGTTCCAATCCCTTTGATATAAATATTTTCATTCTCTAACATACTTTCTTTAGGGATTATGTCTGGGTGACACAATGTGACTTGAGAGCAAGAGTCTTTTAACGCAAGATACTTGTTATCATTCACATAAATAACATCACCGGAGCTGTGAAGAGGGTCTTGGTTACTTTCCAGCAAATAGCATTGGACTATCCTCGCTAAAGGAGGCTCTTGATCTTGGCTGTCTGCTCTCGCTGTTACTGGGGTTGCTATGGCGACTGTTTCAACTGCCTCTGTGGTAGCTCCTTTCTGCTACAATATATCTTCTTTGTCTGACTGTAATTTCCCCCTCCTTTTTGCTGACCAACATCTCTATTCTTGGTGGTCTGGCACTGGGCTCAAAAATGTCCTTTCTCTCCACACCCATACCATGTTTTATTGGCTCTGGGTTCAAAATATGGGTACTTGTCACCCTTTCCTTCAAAGCTATTATGTTTCTGGTGACTCAACTCTGAAGGCTTGCCTTTAAAATGGCTTCCAGTAGCTTGATTATTTCTGAGGCAATCTCTAAGTCCTCTCTCCTGTTGTCCCACACTTTCCCTCCTTTTTTTACCTCAGAGAATCTGGAATTCCTTATCTCATTTGTAGAATCAGCAGTTTCACTTGCCTCCTTTACATTTTTAGGCTTTTTGTCTCTCACTAAATATCTTAAATCACTAAGTAGAACAGAATAAAATTGCTCCTGCCCTATTACATTTTTCATTTCTTCTAGAGACGTGACATTCTCCCGCTCCATCCATTTCTCCAAGCATTGAACTAATTTTGCCCCTAATTGGGAAAACGATTCATCAGGCTTTTTGGTTAGGGTGTAAAATTTTCATCGCAGGTGTTCTATGTGATTACAAGATTACACCATTCAAGGAAATTTTCGTCGCGGGTGTTCTATGTGATTACAAGATTATACCATTCAAGCAGAAACTATGTGATTACAAGATTACACCATTCAAGCAGAAACCAGAAAATAATGAACTCCAATTTACCCTATTTGATTCATACAAGTAGAGGATGAAGTAGTTCTGGGGTACACTCAAATATTATCATTATAACTTCATAAAATGGTATGGAGATGTCTCCTCATGAGTCATGCTGTGTCCAGGAAGCAAGGCATAGTTTCTGCAGTGGTATGCTAGGCCCAAAAGCTCAGTTTCCCATTTCCCATTTTTATACACACGAATGGAGCAATTAGCATCTGTGGCCCATCATCACATACCATATATGCTCGAGTATAAGGCGACCCGAGGCATCCAATTTTACTACAAAAAGTGGGAAAACTTACTGACTCGAGTATAAGCCGAGGGTGGAAAATGCAGCAGATTATCTACTGCTCTACTGCTGTGTAGCAAGATGGAGGGAGACAGAGGATGGAGGAGGAAGGTGGGTACATAGAATATGCGGGGGGAGGAGGATAGGAGTGTCCTGGAAGTGGACACTCCCGTAAATATCTGATAGGGAAGAAGGGGGTAAATGGGCTTCCCTGAGCTTGTAAACAAAGATGGATAGGGAAGAAGGGGGGTAAATGGGCTTCCCAGAGCTTGTAAACAAAGATGCCTTCACTGTAACCTCTGTTCAGAGTGGTCTTTGAAATACTGACATGCTGCCGGGAAAAGGTTTTCATCTACAGCTCCTTCATTTGGACATAGGCTATTATTATCCTCCCAGCACGGTGTCTGCCTGCAGAGTCTGAAAAATGCAGTGTACTTAAACCAGGTCATCAGACCACCGACAGAGGCTGTAGGTGCCCTTAGATGAGTCCAGAGAACACCTGCACTGCAGAGGAGAACATGTAATTTTGACACTGACTCGAGTATAAGCCATGGGGGGTGCTTTTTCAGCAAAAGAACTGTGCTGAAAAACTCGGCTTATACTCAAGTATATAGGGGAATTGCTCTTAGTCTTCTTTGACCCTTCTAGAAGACAAGCCAGCTTTCTAGATCCATCAGATCTGCGTACATCTCTGGGAAAGGAAGCGATCTGACTCCCGTCAGGTCAGGGGTTGCAGCACCAGGTGTTAGGGTCCTCTTGATAGAAGATAAAGCACAGAAGTGTCTGCTTTTCTCTCAATTTGTCTTTGAAATTACAAGAGGGAAGTGGAAGGTTCAGACTGCCTGTTTACCTTTTAATCTCTGTGTGGAGTTTACCCCATGACCCCTGCTTGTTTCACCAAACACAGAGCTCACGAAGGTATCCCAACACGCCCCTTAACATGCTGCCACCAGTTGACCTCTTTATCAACTTACCTCTTCATCAACTTATTTTTCTTATGAAAGACTAAGCTCCATCCAGTACAGTACTGACTTTTTAACAGAAACAGGTTTATTGATTACATGTGGTTTCAGGAATAATTCTTAAGCACATTCTTAACGTTCCACAAAGCTTCAATTTTTACTTTAATCTCTTCTATATTAATTAATACAGGTCACTCTCTGACTACTCTCTCTCTGCCTTAAACCCCCAAACTATCCTCTTCTCTAGCTCTCTCTGACTGACCTCCTTCTCTCCCAGGCTCTGCCACTCAGCACCTCTCTTGGCCCTGCCTCACAACCACATTGACATATAACTTATGAATAATGCATAACTTAGGGTCGACACCACACTCTGGTTAAGTGATTAAGTTCCTGTACCCTCACAGATACACAGAAGAGTTCAGAAACTGAATTCCATATTTCATATTCCACAAGTTCTTAATTTCTTCCTAGCACATCTTCACAGCCAGCTCAGTCTGATCAGAGTGATCTCCCTTAAAGTGACCCTTCCATCTGCTGTGGAATTACTTAGCCTGCCCCCCAAAAGTAGAACTTTACAGCTGGATCAAAAATATCCCGCTTGGGCATGAATAAGGGTCAGGATAGAGTGCATTTCCCTGTGAGTTGTGTTATCAACGGGTAATAGATCATGCCAGACTGCTCCACAAGTGGTCGAAATTGTGATCTGTATCTCCATGTGATCATACTCTTAGCTGGATATAAAATCAATAAGATTTAGAACTAAGTTAATGTAAGATGCATAGTAGAAGAAGGAAAAGTGGAACTGAAGCGAGGGCTTCTAGATTTTATGTCCAGTTCCAGGAATTCAGGGATGTCTAGTGAATGGTGGAGAAAGGCTAGAACTTTCTCCTGTAATTCTAGCTTTCCACTGGCTCACTGATGTAGTCTGGTTCCAGTGTCATCTCCCTTGCTTTCAGACAGACTGTCAAACCTATAACCTTGAAGAAAGTCAAAGTTTCTACTGCTGGAAGATCTGATCAACGAAGATCCAACTAGAGAACCATGAGGATCATTAGTTGCACAGTTTCAGGTCCATTCCTGCTGGACAGTGTTAACACTGCCAGGGCTTTTCACAGATCCAACCATCTGTTGTGCTACCACACTCACGATCATTCCAAAAACCCGAAGAGGTCATTTCAACACAGTCTTCTCCATGGCCATAATTGTTGGGTTCCCGTGGATTCCAATGGCTGCAGATGGAAATTCGGCAAATAAATAAATGACAGAGTCAGTAATGGTTAGAAATGCCATGAAAAGTGAAAGGCAATAAGAAAAGAACAAGATTTAACATCATATGGATTGACTGAGTAAAGGAACTCATTACCTTTAGTTTGTAAGACCTTGCATAGCTATGTATGAACAGATTTCTTGGAACTCACTAATTCATGGAGTTGCCTTAAGTTGAAGCAACTTGAGGGCACATACCAGGGCCAGTAGAACTGTGTGTGAGGTTTTGCTCAACACATAGGCTTAGTGAATGCTTTCAAATACCAGGCAATCACTGACAAAGACTCATGGAGCTAAGAAAGTGAAGGAGCATGTCAAGTATTATGTTCTGGCTTTCTGTCAGTCTCTTACTAGATGCAATTGTTTTTCTATAGGCTTTGAACTGGAACAAATAAAACAATTAATGAAACCTCACTAGACTTTTCCTTACTAGGAAATCTGCATGTCAGTGAATTACTTTCTCAGTGCAGGACTTCAAGAAGGGGTCGTGTGATTTGAGCTCTTTAGAATGCTGCAACTGAAGTTACCTGTGATTTGTACCCCAACACATGTCATAGAGGCAAGAAAATGCAAACAGGTATTTCCTACTGCACCTTAGCCAAAGGTGCACTTTTATAGTGGAGTGGCCTGAAAGTATTGCGCTATTGGGAAACGTGTCCTCTAGTCAATTAACATGTTTCTGGTGCTAAGCAAACATGAAATACCAGTCATTAAAACTATACAAAGAGCTGTGATGGATTGACCTGTTTAATCTAGCATTCTGTTTCCCACAGAATAAGAATGAGCCAAGGAGATACGTCCAGCAGCCTATGAGCAAGAGGTAGATACATAACACCCTTCTGATTATGTTCCCAGCTATGGATGTTCAGAGTCATACTTGTTCTGAGACTGGAGGTAATAGACATCCATCATGTCTAGTAGCTATCAAAAACCTTATCCTTCTTAAATATGTGTAATCCCTTTTATATCTTGTGATAGCTAATCCAGAATTCAATTATGCATGGTTGTATAAAGAAATGCTTGTTTTTGTGGCTAGAATCTTACTAATGTTCAAGTACATTTGTGTAATTTGATAGGGCTAATTACGGCTAACTGATGAAGTGCCAATGCATATCTCAGTTGTGCCTGTTTATACATCTAACTGTGAAACCGAGATTTGCCTCGACAGCTCATCAGTTAGCCACAATTAGCTGTGTCAAGTTGCCCAAGCCTTATGCAACTATCAGTACATTCTGGAGTGTATGCTTGAGTTCAGGATGGATAAAAATCAAATGATTTTTAAAATTCAAATTGCTTTGAAACACAATTCATATCATAATTTAAAATTTTAATATGGCTTTTTTAAAAAATGTAACTCCTCAAAAAGAAACCGGAATCTTTTATTTAAATAGTAGTTTAAATCAATTTGATTTAAATCAAATCCACCTTGCTTGAGTTGTAGCAATTAATGAACTTCCCTGTTTAATCTTCCCTGGGATCCACAATCATATAATCCATGGCTCACAGGCTTCAAACAGACCCCAGAGATGGTTGAGCAGTCCCATGTTCCTTCCACTATTTCTCCCCTGCACTACACAGACTGGGGTCTTTGCTTCCACATTATTAACAGCAGTATGAAAACAGGGTGAGCGGGTGGTGAAGGAGGCTTAAGCTTCTCCTGGCTTCAGTAAAGTCGAAGCAGTCTTCCTGTCCACCCTTTGTGTGTGGGGGACATGAAATCATGTAACTCAATAGTCTATATAAAGCGAGTTTGAGTATGATCACATGGGGAAATAGATCGCATTTTGGACTGCTTGTGGGGTGGTCTGGTGTGATCTATTTCCTGGCAGTCACATGGTGTACAGGTAATTGTGCTCCAGCCCAACCCTCATCCATGCCCAAGCGGGACCCTTTTGGCCCTGCTGCAGGTTACTCATTTTTGGGGGGCTGGGCTGGAGCAATTCCCCAGCAGACAGAAGGGTTGCTTTAAGGGAGATTGTTACCAGCCAAGTGACCCTTTCCTGTGCAATTGGACACTTACAATTACACTCATCCAGCTGTCTGATCACACAGTTAAATATTGTGATGGAGAGACAGGGTACAAACATTTTCTAGATCATTCTGCACATTAAAATAGGAAGCAACGGCTGTAATGCAGAATATAAATAGAATAATCAGTGAACTCAACAACATCAGCAACTACAAAACCCATTAAAAGCAGAAGAAAATAAAGGGTTTCAGTTGCCGCATAGAAATTATTGTGAATATAGCCTGGTGAATGGGTACAATAAGGGAGGCCTGTAGACCAGATACCATGGCCAAATGAGTCCTGTCTCTTGATGTTATCCATCTAGGTCAAAGCAGGTTCTGATTGCAAGCTGCATACGCTATTTTATCCTGCTTCTGGTTCCCTGGTCTGTACTTTCCTTGCTGTGAAATTTGGCATTGCTCACATTGCAAACAAAATTAGCTCTGAGTTGGAGGATTCTGTTTTTCATTTGACAGTTTCCAAGAGGGGTGCAGAAGAAATTACTGTATTATGATGTTACTTACGTATATGATGGAGAAGAGTTATCCACCCAGATAAATTTGTTTTCTGACGAAATGTCATGGAGACCAATCCAGTAGGACTTGGAATTCTTCTGTGAGTCAAGAAATTTCTGAAACACAAACCTCATTTCATTATCCCAGCTGAAATATAATTATATGGAGAACCAGCTGTGATGACTAGCAGCACATCATCTAAGGGCATCGCTGGATAAGACACTGGTTCTATACTAGAAGCAGTGATCCCTTAAGAGAGCAATGGTATGAGGAGAAAACTTTTTTTTTGTACTTAAGATGTGGTCTAACCTTTACATGCAATGCCACAGTCAATGCTGGAGTCCTATTACATCTCTGGATAAAACCTAAGCTTTATCAATTCCAGCATATCTTCTTAAACCAGTTTGAAGACAAGGTGTAAGGTTATACTGCAAGCAATCTCTGTTTCAGATTTTAGAGAACCACTTCTTCTCAGAAATGACTGGAATGGGTGGGCTTATATAGAGTTTGGATATGTTATTTTTTTTTAACTACAACTCCCAGAATCCCCCTCCCCATTGGCAGTTCTGCAATTCTGGGAGCTCTTCTCCAGAAGAGTGATTTCTCCAGGCTTTGCTCCGCCCTGGTTTGGAATAACACAGTTCCTGTATTTATATTAGACAAAATTATGGGGAATATTTTTATCAGTAGCTAAACACCATTCTCTACATTTGCAGGCAGTGTGTGTATAATTATGAAATGCTGAAAACATACAGAGCCTTGGTGTGATTTCTTTGCTTGTGAGCTTCAAACTGTAGCTACAGTGGGGCAGCATTATTAGCTGAAAGCTCACCCACACAGCGGTCTTCTCCCTGGTCATTCTGCAGTTGTTCTGAGTCATTCTGGCATTTTTGGTTGCAGATTGAATAGCAGGCAGTGGTATTTGTGTCCATCCAGGGGGAGGGTATTTGCTGCTGGACATACTGGGATTGCACTGGCTTCTCCCAGTACTGCCTGCCCACACATATCCAGATCTGCTCTCTGACATCTCACTTCTAACACAGAGTACCCTCCACCTTCTCCCCACCTACTTCACTCCTTCTTTTCCCCTCTTTTGTTTTAGTTAAGGTTAAGGTTCCCTTTGACAATTTTTGTCCAGTCGTGTTCGACTCTAGGGGGCGGTGCTCATCCCCGTTTCCAAGCCATAGAGCCAGCGTTTGTCTGAAGACAATCTTCCATGGTCACATGGCCAGTGTGACTTAGACACGGAACGCTGTTACCTTCCCACCAAAGTGGTCCCTATTTATCTACTTGCATTTGCACGCTTCGAACCGCTAGGTTGGCGGGAGCTGGGACAAGCAACGGGAGCTCACTCCGTCGTGTGGATTCGATCTTACGACTGCTTGGTCTTCTGACCCTGCAGCACAGGTTTCTGCGGTTTAGCCCACAGCACCACCACGTCCCTTGGTTTACGTCTTTTGTTTTACTCAGCTGCTATTCTCAAACCTTCTCATTTTTACCAAACAATAAAAGCACACACTTTTATTATGTGAGTTTGGCAGTGATTTTCCAAAGGAAGGAATATGGAGCAGGAGCAGCACTATGCAGTAGAGCAAATTGGAGCAATGCAGAAAATCAAAACAGAAGACAAGAGGGTTTCTGAGACAAAACCCACATTTTTTTCAAATAGAAAGCCCCACCCTGTACTTGGCTGTACTTGGCTGTACTTGGCAAACAGAAAGCAGGTGTGTTTTCATTGGGCAAGAGCCTTGGATTACCTGCTCCTCCTCGTCATTGATGATAATCAACTGACTGTCTTCCTCCTCGCATGATGTCTTGGCAAAAGACCAGTGCTTACTCATTGTTCGAAAGTGGTAGCAGTGCCCCTTGTTCAGCAGCCAACCCTCTGGGCACACTCGGCAGGCCGAGGCTACAAGGCAAGCACAAAGGTTTTTCTAGAGATCTTTGAGATCATCCATTGTGAGGCGGTCCAAACATGGAATAATTTCGTGTACAGTCTGCAAACAGGCCCTCTGAACTTCCTGTATGTATAAGGAACCTAAACTCTCATCCACTGAAAAGATTACAGATTTGCAATTAAAACCTAGTTTTATTGTTTATATTCTCATTCCTGCACCTGGGCTGAGTCTCTGTGCTGCCACTTTTATTGTTTAGTTACTCAAAGAAATTAAAAAGTCTGTGTACTCTCAGAATGATTTCCATTTTCAAGTTACATGTCACCAAAGAAAACAACTGATTTGAAGGGCTTCATCCAAAGCCAAGGAAACTTTAAAATTTAATTTAATTATCAGTGTGTAATGAGCAGTCAGAGAGGGATGCATTATACATTATGACTGGTGTGGTCATGTGGCTCTATAAAAGAGGACAGCCCTCTAGGTGCAGATGGCCTCTATTTGCACATCAGTTAGGGGTGCACCATGTGTGTGTGAGGGTGAATTTGAACTCCAACTTTTAAATTCTCCAGATGGAACACTGAGAGTTTCAGCTCACAGGCAGACAGCTAGCTTTTGCTCATTTCAAAGCCTCTCTCATGCCTTGCTTCTTCTTCAAAAAGAAAACTGTTCAATGTTTCTTGGGAGGATTAGATCTTTGTAGGAAGTGTAGACTCACTTATAGGTGTCTGTCTGTGGCTTGAACTGGGGAAATCTTGGAGAATTCTGGGATTTGGAGTCCAAAAGCAAAAGCAAGGAAGCAAACAAGGCTGCATATCCCTATAAATCAGTCTTTTTTGTTGTTGTTGTTAATGTACACATGGCTGTTCTTGATACTCAGTCTATATATATGCAAAAAAGTCCCTTTGCTTTAAATATCATTGCAACACATAGAATGGAAAAAGAATGTCACCCTATGCACACCAGATTCACTTTGTGATGTTTGTACAATTAAATCTGGCCATGACTCAAAACCATTGAAATATAGGAGAGTCATCATCTGAGTCCACATAGTCAGATGTGGATTCATAGCAGGGCCCATATGCCCGTGACGTGCTATTGTCAGCTCATATTGCTCTCCCCATCTCGTGTCCGTAGCTTTCTGAAGGACATTGCCCATCAATACAGGAGTGAGAACTCCATAACAAAAGGCCATGAATGGCGACAAAGAAGGGGTCATGCTTTACTGCTAATATTATAGAATTTCTTATCTTACCGTTAATCTTATATAGTGCATCTGTTAGCTTAAAGGTGTTGTCCCGGAGCTTTCTGGCCTCAGTTTCCAGATTACCCATCTTATTGTCCACTAGGAGTTTGAAAAGTAAGAGGAAAAAAGTAAATGGTAGTAGCATTGCTGGCAGTGGATAGAAAATGTTATATTGGAAGATAAACAAGTAAATGAATATGTTAAAATAAATGAACAAGTAAACACAGTTCCCCTGTACATTTTATATATGGCAAGCAGGGCAACTGATATAGAAGAGAATAAATGAGACACAATGTTGGTATCAAATGTGGTAGCAAAAGCCAGTGTCACAGCATTCAGCCTTGCAGGACACTCTGTCACTAATCTCAGGGTAACTCTTACAGAAGAATGTCATTTCAAAGAGCTTGTCGAAAAGGAAATGATTGAATTAGAACAGTGGTTCCCATCCTGGGGTACATGTAGCCCCAGGGGTATGAACCAGGATCTTTAGCAGTAGACAAAAAAAAAAAAACCCTGCATAATGCCAGAAAAAGGCCTAGGGAATCAGAGGAATGTGGAATGGAGATATACATTATGGACTGGCATTTGGACAAAATGTGTGTGAAAGCTTTCTGACAAGCATCCACAACCCTCCACAGTCCTCAATGGGTGGGCCTGTTACATCTCCTCTCAATCTTATTTTCTTCATCAATTGGCTCCTGTTTGTGGGAAGGGATTGGCTGGGCTGCCTTTCCACTCTGTGGCTGTCTGTCAGAACTGCAGCTGCCCTGAAGATGGTGAGTCTCGTGTTGGGATTCTTGAAGGGGCTGCAGAAAGCAGAACACCAGCTGGGTCTGGAGGTGTTTCAGGATCCAGAGTGGGGCAACACAGTGGCCATAGACTGAGGTGGTCATTGTGGCGCCAGGATCTTGGTTGGTTCTAGCCCCTCCTTATACTCATCAGAGCCCAAGGCCTGGGTTTGGAGAGGGAAGCAGGCTGCATACCACACAATCCATCCCTGTCTCCAGTTCCTGCAATCCGGCTGAGACCCTCCTCACCAAGGGGGTGGGAGCTGCTTCGTGTTGCATTAAATTCCAGTCTGTAACTAGAGATGTAGGTGGTGGCTACAATGACCATTTACCCCACAATTTACATCAGAGTACATTTAAATTAAAGCTCAGTGAATGCATGACATAAATCTGAATGCAAGAAAGCCTGTTGTTAAATTGTCTTTTTGAGCGGGGAATCATCTTTGTTGTTGCTGTTGTTCAGCTGCCAGCCTGGTCTAAATTTGCTCCAGTCTGTTTGCCATCACTTTTGTCCCCTTTCTGCCCATTTGGTGACCTGATCCAAAGCAAAGGGGCATGCAGAGGGCTGTCAGTTCCCCTCAACCAAACACCCCTCATCTCCAAACCAGTTCCGTTTTTAAAAAAATGAACTGAAGCACTAGAACAAGCTGTCACTAGAGCACTTAGGAGACCACAGAGAGAGAGAGAGAGAGAGATGTGGAAATTGACAATCAGCCCTTGTTACCACCTTGTTATGGCACTTTCTGCTTTTGGAGCTCAGTGCAAACCGAGCTGTCTGCCTCTGTCCTTACTGGCTCCTGGAAATCTGGACAGTTACTGCCCTGTTAAAGCATTGCAAGTATGATGTTATATCTATTGCAGATCATGCCACATGTTAAGACAAATGTCTAGGTCCTCCTCTTACAACAGCAGAAATCCAGTAATAAGCCATAGCAGGAGTGGGTCTATTGAATTACTGGAAGTGACAGAGAAAGTAACTCGCCAAACCCCCACTGATTCAATAGGCCTACTCGAGTTGTGAATTACTATTGGATTTCAGGTTGGTTTGTTTTGTGCACAAACTATTCAGATTTATGTGGCTGAGAAATCAGACCCTGGAAACAAAGCTGTGCTATCCCTCCGGATGACCTATCACAAGAAAAGAGGAGGCCAGCTAATTAGCCAAATGTAGATTGCCACGTGTGCATAACCAGACATCTTTTCCTCTTAAGGGAGTCCTGCTTCTAATGGCTTGTTAGATATACAGTCTACTCCAACCTGAAAAACCTTGAAGCCCATAAAATGAGATCCATTCATATTTCCATGAAAATCCCAGCTAGGAAATGCCTGCAAAAGGTACTTACCTCCTTTTAGCAGTTCCTTATGACTCGCCAACATATTCAGACTCTCATTTAGTTTTAAACCTGTAATAAAGGCAGAGATAACAGCTAGTTTCCAATGATTGATGATCAGGAAACGGTATAGTTAAACTCTCCATACATCCTTGAGCAGGAAGAAATCCAAGGGTAACTTAGTGTTACTGCGTTAGTTTTTATATATCTATAGAAGAATGCTTTGAGAAATTGTGGTGTCCCCTTAATAATAACAGGTATTGCCATACCTAAAATAGATGCACTGAAATCAATGAGATTTAAAATAGTACAGTGGACCCTTGACTTACAGATGGCCTGACTTACAGACTTTTTGAGTTACAGACTTCTCTGGCCTCAAAATTTAGGTTTGACTTGCAGACTGAGATTTGACTTACAGACCAGAAAAAAACCAAAATGGAACAAAAATGGCCTGTTACGGGATTAATCGGTTTTCAATGCACTGTAGGTCAATGGAGACTTGACTTACAGACTTTTTGACTTGAGAACCGCCTTCCAATACGGATTAAGTTCTCAAGTCAAGACCCCACTGTAATGTTTAACATAAGTCATTTTTATTTCAATTGGTCTGCTATAAAAATGACTAAGAGTGGATCCAACACATGGTATTACCTATATTTGTAAAAGCAGAGAATACTGGAAGCGAGGAACACCCGTACAACAGGCATCACCACCCATAAGTCATTTTTATTCCAATTGGTCTGCTATAAAAATGGCTAAGAGTGGATCCAACCCATGGTGTTACCTATATTTGTAAAAGCAGAGAATATTAGAAGCAAGGAACACCCGTACAACAGGCATCACCACCACTGATCCATCTTCAGCTTCAGTGATTGCCTGGCATTAGAAAGCATTCACTAAGCCTATGTGTTGAGCAAAACCTCTTTTTATTCCAATTGGTCTGCTATAAAAATGGCTAAGAGTGGATCCAACCCATGGTGTTACCTATATTTGTAAAAGCAGAGAATATTAGAAGCAAGGAACACCCGTACAACAGGCATCACCACCACTGATCCATCTTCAGCTTCAGTGATTGCCTGGCATTAGAAAGCATTCACTAAGCCTATGTGTTGAGCAAAACCTCACACACAGTTCTACTGGCCCTGGTATGTGCCCTCAAGTTGCTTCAACTTAAGGCAACTCCATGAATTAGTGAGTTCCAAGAAATCTGTTCATACATAGCTATGCAAGGTCTTACAAACTAAAGGTAATGAGTTCCTTTACTGAGTCAATCTATATGATGTTAAATCTTGTTCTTTTCCTACTGCCTTTCACTTTTCGTGGCATTTCATGGCTATGTTTCTCACTGTTCCATTCTATATTTATTCTGTCCATACCACGTTAGTGCTAATTATGAGTCAATCCAATCCCCCCAGTTTGGCATGGCATACCGTATATTTTGTTCAGCTGGAAGGGGTTTTGGTTTTTTGTACCATTTCTAGGGACAGTATTTGGCTTTGCTTTTGGCTTGTTTGATTACCTATTATGTGATTACACCCACCCACCCCAGTTATGGATCAATCCTTTGGCACCATTGTTGGGCACATCCTGATAACATCACTGATAATGCACAGGGTGTGTGTTGTGTGGGAAACCTACTGCTTTTGCCTTTCTTCTGCTAGCTCTGGTGAAGATTACAATGGCAGTGCATTTTGTACAGTACAGTTTTAAAAGTATTTTTTTCCTTCACGTTCAACACTATAGCACTTTCACTGTAGTTAAAATGCTAAGTGGAGACAGCATTAATTCAAATGCTTTCCTTGTACAGTATGTCGGTTCAGTGCTATTTTACTTAATAAACATTTTTTTAAAAAGAAGGGATCTGAGCGCTAATGAAAAGAGTGATTAAGAGGGTAGTGATAATGGCAGAGATGGGTGTGGGGAAAGGGGCCTGGGAGATTTGTGGACTCTTGAAACATGCCTTTGTGGGAGGGGCCTGGGAGATGTGTGGACTCTTGAAACATGCCTTTGTGGGATAATGTTTCTGTGTGAACTGTGGCAGCAATTTAAATGCTAGGGTGAATTATCAAGAAGTTTGCATCAATCTGGAACAGAACCTCAGTGTGTTCAGGGTCTGTGTTGTTTTTCCTGTGTAGTATTCCCATGGAGCACTGGTCTTAGCCATGCCCATTCCTACAGCTTGGAAAAGTTACTTTTTAGGCTGCAAGTTTAAAAAAATTCCTTAGGCAGCATGACCAAATGGGATCCTGGAGGTTTTCATTAAAATGTGTCATTTTCAAGTTCTGCTCTTGGTCTTTGTTCACTCCCATTGTGAAAATGATTACTCTTTCTTTCTTTCCTTCTTGGATTCATATCTTGCCTTTCAAAAATGTCTCATCTGCCATTACCAATAGTCCTCATTTCTGACTATTCATATGTACCATTCGCTTGACATGAATGGTCATCCAGCAGCCCTAGCAGTACTTAATGAGGGAGATGAGAGATAAACGGCTATCAACGATTTCTGAGAAAAGAGAAGAGGTGAAAACAAGGAACAGCTTCTAGGAAGTTGGAGCCGTAACCAAATCATTGCTTACCATAGGCAGAATTCTTGGAATGAAGCGCCTTCAATTGATTTTCCATGTTGGAACCTAGAATAGACAGAGCCAAGTTAGCCAGGCTTTGTAGTTCAGAGTGCATTTGATAGATCGACATGGTCATGCTTATGGACTGAACGTTTCTGAGGCATCAGGAGTTGACTTTGAATGTAGACGGCTTAGGCGGCTTGTGTGAAGTTTTGAAATGTGGCTTCATTCTGTTATACCAGATCACGAGGAGAATTTAGCCCCTGAGGGAGTAACTCTGAGCAACTACTCTTATACATTCTGAGTTGAGGAGGTCTTGGTTCTCATCCGGCAGAGTTGTGAAGGTTGTCTGGGTAGAAGGCAGGGACCGGAAATACTAAACCTGTACTTTCAATCGCTAGACATTGTGGCTGATTTACAAATGCTTTTACGTCATTCAGGGACATGTTGCAGTTGAATCTGCAAATCCCTTCAATGAATACCTTGGCACTGCATTTGAAGAAAAATAATGCAAGGGTCCCAAAGCTCTGTCTCTGATATTTCACCCAGGATTGTTCATTCACATGTGCAGTTTGTCTCTTGATGTCGCTGTTGAAACATGACAAACCCAAATTGTCTCTGTTTCCCTAGGGACAGCTAGAAGGGCTCAGCTTAGAAATGATTGTGTTGCTGCAACTGGGAATGGAACTAGCATCCCCTCCTCCCTATTAAGTGAGAAAGTTAATACAACATCCCTATCCACCAAAGGTCATTACCAACAACATTTTATTTGTATAACAGTGGCTGAAAACCTCTTTCTTATTGTAATGTCTCATCTGGATTAGGCTCATTTGAATCAATGGAATTTATGGAGGAGTTGACTCACCAAATTCCCACTGACTGAATGGGCCCACTCAAGTGCGACTTACTACATAAAGAAACCAATTATCTTGTGGTGTGTGGTGTTTTGTTTTGTTTTTTACTATTTCATTACTAGAAGTTTGTCAACATACACTTTGTATTTGACAATTGCAGCGTGTATGAGATGAACAAATATATGTTTCATGCTGAAATCCATGGTGGCAGAAAGCACAACCTCAAGATTTCAAACACACACACAAAGAGCAATAATTCCATTTTCAGAATTGCTCTCACTTCCTCCAGCCATTCCCGTCTTGGCATCTAGCTCATTAGATGCTTGTGACTTGCTTGTGAGCTAAGCTTGTAGTGAAAGCTTGCCCCCACCCCACCCCCAATGCGAGCTGTTGGACTGATAAAACCCATCTCTTATACAGGGACAGGGACAAGATAGAAGGAACAGTTCAGAATGGCAAAGCTGAATTGTTACCATTTGCTCTCAGTACAGTTTGATTGTTCCGCAGCTGTTCAAGTTCACTGGCCATCTCAGAATCTGAAACAACACAAAGTCTGGTCACACTGAATGTAGGGGAACATTTACTGCTCTGCCTCAAGTAGCAAAATGTCTTGGGTTGGTCCTACTCACTCAAATGAAAGAAAGAAGTAAAACTCTGATCTCACAGTGAGACTAATGAAGTTTAGGGATTGAGGGAGGTTCATCATCCCTGAAAACAAGTGGAATGAATGAAGCTCCAGGATGGATTGAGGGACCTCATTCCATGTGTCACCACACTATCCAGTAATGGCCACTCTTAGAGGATAACGTTAATTACACAAATAAGAATACCTTGAACACTTCTCTGTGTCAAACATCCCTTGTGCAACACTGGAACATTTGGCTCCAGTACTCCGTATTGTACCCTGTATCCACTATTGGGTCACTGAAATACATGGCTGAAATACACATCCACATCCACTCACAAGCCCACTACATTAGTCATGGGTGGGGAAGCTGTGGCTTTCCAGATAGTGTAGAGCTCTTACTCCCATAATCCAAGAGTCAGGGGTGATAGGAGTTACAATCAAACAACACCTGGAGGGCTACAAATTCTCCATCTTAGCATGGATCCATATGGATGATTAATCTGCTATTTTGTGAATTGCTGTTGAGTCCCAGAAGAGCAATATCTCCTAAATGTGATTCAGAAGGCTGTCAGAAAATCAATGAAGAAGAAAGTGAGTAACAGTGGAACCAATTAACTTGGGAGGAGATAAGAACTCCACCACTGGAGACACTTAAGAAAAATTAGACCGCCATCTGTCATATTTACCTTGATTTCGATTCCTGCATTGAGCAGCAGGTTGGGCTCAGTGGCCTCACAAGCCCCTTCTAACTCCATGATTCTATAATACTAAGTTCCAAGAGGTTTCAGTTCAAGTACTAAAAGTGCATCTACTAGAACTGGCAAACATTATAGGAAAATGTATGTTCTTTTAAAAGTCTGGATTAGACTTTAGCAAATAAACATATTATCATAATATCATGCTATGCGAAATTTTTTGTTTTGGTTTAGCAATGGTTTTAAAAGTTTTTTTAAAGCATACAAGTGTGATGCCTGCTCTTTCAGAATGTATATAAATGAAGCAGCCTTTAGATTACATACATTTTGATGCCAGAGAGAGTAGGATGATCCACAGGAGAAATGACAAGCCATTCAGAATGTAAAGAATGAGCACATGTGTTTTCTCTGAAGCACACTTGCAGTATTTTAATGGGAAACCAGCTGTGGACAACAACAAAATGTCATGTGAATTATTTGCAAAAGTGAGGACATTTTCAACAATAAATCTAGGGGTATCGTGCAAATACTAGAATCACAGAATTATAAAACTATAGAATAATTGACTTGGAAGGGGCCCATAAGTACTAATTATTTTTTCAGAATGTAAAGTAAAATGGGAAACAAAGTGGTGAGGAGGTGGCAGTAAAAATAACTGAAATACAGTCCACAACAGAGAGACAGCGAATGATCCTAATTAAAAACTGCACAACAAGAAGATGCTAATATGAATTCTTCATTCATTCATTCATTCATTTATTCATTCATTCATTCATTCAACATTTATAGGCTATCTTTCTCCTGATAAGAGGACCCAAAATCAAACCATAATAAATTATACATTAAAAACAAACTATAATAGTAATTAAAATATATTTAATGACTGTAAAAACAACTTAACTACCAAAAAAAAAACCCAACCCACCCCAGCATTCATGGACTCAGTTATAGTTATTAAAAGCTTGCCTGAAAATGTAGGTCTCTAACTATTGGCAGAAGGATAAAAGAGAGGGGCACAACCTAAATACTTGTGGGAGAGCATTCCACAATCTGGGACCTGCTACAGAGAAGGGCCCTTCTAGTCTCCCCATCAAACATGCCTGCGATGGCAATGGGACCAAGAGGAGGGTTTCCTCTGATGATCCTAGGAGCTGAGAAGGCTCATATGGAGAGATACAGTCCTTCAGGTAACCTGGGCTCAAGATGTACAGAGATGACGAGCACTTTGAAGTGGGCCCAGAAACGGAGTGGTAGCCAGTGCAGTTGTTGGAGCAGGGGCATTATATGCTCCTTATAACTGTTCCTAGCCAGTTGTCTGGCTGCTGCATTTTGAACCAGCTGAACTTTCTGAACCATTTTCAAAGGTTCTAAGCGGGATGTAATTGAGCCATGTGTCACTGTAGCCAAATCAGATATCTGAAGGAATGGGTGCAGCTGGTGCACCAGTTTTATTTGTGCAAAGGCACTACTGGCCACCGCTGAAACCTGGGCACCCAGGCCCAGAGATGAATTCAGGAGCGCATCCAAGCTGTGGACCTACATTTTCAGAGGGAGTGTCACCCCATCCAGCAGAGGCTGCATCCCTGTTCCTCGATCTGCCTTTCGGCTGACCAGGAGCATCTTTGTCTAGTTTGGATTAAGTTTTAGTTAGTTTGTTTGTTTGTTCCCTCTTCTTGTATCTCTCAAAGACTGGCTTCTTTCCCTGTTCAGATCTTAAAAGTTTGAAAAGAAAATGCTGGCATTTAGTCCCATGTAAATAACATACAGTACAAGGTTCCACTCTGCCATTTCTGTGCCAGCTACAGTCTGCGCGTGCACGGTGACTGCCTAAGAGAGAAGTCAGCTAACTGGTTGTGAAACTAACATGAACTCTTCAGACAGACTGCTCAATCCCAACTTCCTCTCTCTGTCAACCCTTGGTGATACATCACATGCAGGACCCTTCTGATTATTGCTGAGGCCAGCAAGAAGGCATGCTGTCCACTGGTGGAGCCTGACCAGAGCAGATGAAAGTAGGAAGTGGGTGATGTCTCCCTGATACGGCCATGTCTCAGAGCAACACCACAAAGGGAAGGGCAGCAAGTTAGCTGTTACTCTAGTGGCTCAAGCAAGCAAGAACATGATAGCAAACAGAAAGATCCAAGAGTATCTTGCACAACTCTTTTTCCCTTCCTATGTCCAGGACTTGCCTAAATATTGATACATCAAGGGGCAGATCTAGAGGTAGTATTAAAAAGCTGACCGGGGGAGGGGGAAGAGTAACTATTTAGCTTGTACTATTTCTTCCATTATACGTAGAGGCACGTATTTTCTGTCTCAGGCATCAAAATGTCTCGAGCCACTTCTGCCCATATTGAACAGAAATGGAATAGCTCATACAGAATAAGTAAATAATTGCCTTAATGCTATTACAGATAGAGAGCTTTAGTTAGATTGCCACTTATTTCTTTTCAGTCTTGTAATGTGGCTGGCAGATATGAGGTTTTGTAATCCAACCCATGTGGAAGGTGAGATTGCCTTATTGCACCTTACTAATGAACATTTTGAGAGGCAGAATAATGTAGTGGATAGAGTATCAGACTGGGATTCAGGGAACCTGGGTGGCACTATTAAAACTATTCTATATTTTATATACCTTGAAAACCTTATTAGGGTTGCCGTAAGTCAGAACTGACTTGACGGCACCTAACAGGATGAACATTTGCCTGTGTGTCCCATGCAAGACCTAATGCATCCTTTTGTTTGTTAGGTGTATACAGCTGGGCCTTCCTTGCTTCCACATGACAATTAATTGATGCCTGGAACATTCACTCCCAATTTGCAAATGGGGAAGATGGAGTTATCATCCTGCCCAAGTTAATTATTTGGATTCCAGCTCTCAGAATCTCCCAGCAAACATGGCTAGGAGATTCTGATGGGACTGCAGGAGGTATAACAAAGCAAGGGAGTTTGCTAAGCTCTGTACCCCATCAAAAACACCAGTAGAGATTCTTTCTCCCCTCTGCTACACTTACCTGCTGTTTGTGTACTCAGGTTGCTGATAATAGTCTGCTCGGGTTCCTCACACTTCTGGTAGATCCTGGTTGGTGCCATTCTTGCCCGTCTCGATGAGGTTCTCCTCTCAGCAACTTTAATAATATAATAATTGTATGCTGCAAAGTTGATTCCGACTTACTGCAATCTTTCCAAGATTTTCTAGGTATAAAGTACTCAGAACTGATTTACTGGTTGACACTTCTGGTGGTACTCTGGGAACATGGAGCTTGGCCTAGGCTGCACAGGCTGGCTCTTCTCTCTGGAAGTAGAGGTCCGGCACTCCCCAGCTCCTGACTCTGCAGCTAGATGGACTTACCCACTGAGTTATCTAGCAAGTCCACAGCTACTTTAGTGCCATCCAAAGATCCTGGGACTTTTTAACTAGAAGGAAATGTGCACATACAACCTACCTTCCTCTTTTGAGTTCAAAAAGCACATATCTGTCACTTCTGCAGTGAAATTCTTGGAAGTCCTTGTGAATGAATCATCATTCCAGAGCACAGATTCACTGGGCATCCCAAGCATTGTCTTGATTAGCTAAAACCATTCATGAATGACAGCTAGTATTGCCTTGAATAACTTGTGATAATTAAAATATTATAGGTAATTTTATATATTTTCCTGTGCTAGGTTTTTTAAGTGGGTGTAGCCCATGAAAACGTACGACAAACAAATATTTTGTTGTTGTTTTTACACTGTGTTGTGTGCTTTTACCATCTTTTCATCTGTCCAAATAACATTTGTTACAGGGCATGTTAAAGATATAATATAAAATGTCACAATATCTAAACTGAGAGTCTCATATGGTACAGTGTTCCAGACAACTGTCCTGAAGGAGCAGAGTCAGGATGGTACAGTATAGGGTGGGCACACTGATTTGGATAACCACAAATGGCTGCCTGATATTGACCGTGAGAATCCCAGTGCTCATCTAAAAGCAGCAATCCATTTGTCTTGCAGGGTGGGTAGAACATTGTTTGTTATGCTTCCAAAGTCACAGTCGCACCTCTTCAATTACAGGTGTAAATTTCCAGATATGTACATATGGGAAGCAGAGTCGCACTTGTCGGTTTTGGTAGTCTGGCCATATGTACCCCGCACTTGTTTCCATTGGCATGAAAAGGGGCTCAATGGGTATACAGCTTCTCCATGTAAGAGGAGCTCCTTTCTTTCTTTCTTTCTTTCTTTCTTTCTTTCTTTCTTTCTTTCTTTCTTTCTTTCTTTCTTTCTTTCTTTCTTTCTTTCTTTCTTTCTTCCTTCCTTCCTTCCTTCCTTCCTTCCTTCCTTCCTTCCTTCCTTCCTTCCTTCATTCCTTCATTCCTTCCTTCCTTCCTTCATTCATTCATTCATTCATTTATATACCCCGCCTATCTGGTCATTGTCACCACTCTAGGCGGCTACTTACTGATCCAAGATCCTGCTTTGTTTGGAGGAGCTCTTGTGCATGAGATTGGCATGGGCATCAAACTATCCTTATTCAGAGGAAGTACAGATTTATCCACAAAAATCTCAGGCACACCATAATAAACCTGCAGGTCTTTAATGTGCCACAAGACTCCTTGTTGTTGAAAATCTTGTGCTGCTGTTTTCCTGATAATTTTATTTGTTGCTGGATAGGATTTTTTTTTAAAAAAAAAATGTGTCAAATTCAGTTCCTGCACATTGTGCTTTCTTATGCTATCCTTTAAAACTAGATAGAACCGAACACTGCAAATGGATATGTTTAGTGTTATATACTATGCTGAAATCTCATTGATGAAAAATCATCTTTTATTATGACATTAATTGATTGACAGATCCATATTTATTGATGCTTTCAAACTCTGGTCTTTTATCCACCATTCTGGGTTGCTGAGATTGAGGCCTTCTGGTCTGGATATGCAAACAAGGAAGATCTGATATATGTGAATCACAGCTGTCACAAAGGGCATTCTAGAGAAAGAGGTAGTGAAACCAATGAGTCCAGATTGTTCTTTGCTTGTGTACGTACTTCTTGCATTTCTCAAGAAAAGACATCTTTATTCCTTTGAACTGAAGAATCAACCCCAGAAATATCATTCTAGTACATCCTTTGATTTCTGTCTCTAGACAAGAAAACTCATAAGAACTCAGATGGGTGACCTAGCCATGACATCCAAATAAGTATAACATGGACCCATAACCAATATTTGAGAAGGAAAAGCAATTTTGGAAGAGGGAAATCGAGAGCAGTGCTTCTCCTCACCTCCTGCTTTTCCACTCTAAAGGCTTCCTCCAGTAGCTTGCAGATTCCCAAAAGCATGTTGCATCCAGAACTCACCCAAAATAAAAGCCACTACTAGAGGAAGGTGAGGAATTGGAGAGACCGATGGTGTTTGAAGTCATTGGCAGCAACTCTCCTTACTCTCAAGAAAGTGCATGTCTTTGCAGGGGAAAGAGAAGTAGAAAGAGGCAGAAGGATCTCCTCATGTTTGCTAGACCACCCCTTCCCATCTCTGATCTAGAGTCTAGACTGATCTTCTTTCAACCTAGACTGTTATTGTTGCTGATGTTTCTTCCTTATGTTTCCACCTTGACTCTCTCCAAAAGAGGGCACAGGAAACTTCTTGCCTTTATTGTCAAGAAGTGGCATTCTGCATCTCCACCTTACACTGTCACTACATTGACAAGTGATACAGGAAGTGCTCCAAGATTGGTCAGATTTCTATTACAGTAGGACCCCCATATCTGCTGGGGATTGGTTCCAAGCCTCCTGTGGATACAGAAAACTGTGGATAATAGTGAACATTATAAATATAGCATAGTAAAAAGGAAAAAATCAGAAAAGACTATTTTCATATATATTACCATCACTGGCCAATAGAGGGCACGAGAGACCATGCTATATATTCTTCACTAACAAGGATTCGTAGCATAGTCTGTGGCTCCCTCCAGTGGCCAGTTTTGGTAATACATTTCAAAATAGTGTGTTTTTCTGGATTTTTAAAATATTTTTAATATTTTCAGACCATAGATAAGTGAATCAGTAGATACTGCTCCCATAGATTAAGGTGCCCTACTATATTTTCTGTTGACTGCATGGTGTACAGTACTGGTCAATGCAAATTATCCTAGAGTTTCCACACACACACACACACACCTTTTAAGTTGGTATAGTAGTGCTATAGTAGACGTGCCTCCACAAATCAGAACAGCACAATAGAGCTGCCATAACAAGGTGCTTCCTGGCAATTTCCTTCTCTCTCTCTCTCTCTCTCTCTCTCTCTCTCTCTCTCTCTGTTGACTCTTGGTTCATTAGTTGAAGGAAATTCAGCCCAGGAAAACCCAACTCCCCAGGTGCAAATTCACAGCTGATCACCCTCCAGCATTTGTCTTTTTTGTAGCCACATTGTACTGTTGGTTCATATTCAGCTTATGATTTATGACAATTCCAAGATCCTTCTCACTTGTAGTATTGCTGTGCCAGGCATCCCCTATCTTGTGATTGCTTTTTCCATTTTGGTTTTTGGTTTTTTTGCACTTATCCTTGTTGAATTTCATTCTGTTTTCAGCCCAGTGCTCAGGCCAACCAAGATCATTTTGAATTTTGTTATTTTCTTCGAGGGTATTGGCTATTCCAACCCACTTCTGTGTCATCTGCAAATTCGACAAGCATTCCCTACACATCCCTCATCCAAGTTTGCACTACGCTGATATACTGTTAAACAATTTCAGTGCTATATTGGGTGTTAAATTTTTTGAAAGGACTTTGAATGAATTGCTGTATACAAGGAAAGCATGCAATATATGTATAACAAAAAAGGCCATTTTTGTGGAAACCATTCTAGTTTGCAGTAAACAGTTTTGCACTATGCTAACATGCTGCTAAACCATTTCAAAACCGTCAGGTGACATTATAGTCTTGGCATGACCACTGACAGGAACTGAAACTTTCAACAATAACATATCCCTCCTGAAAAGCAGGGTTTATTTCCTCTCCTAGATTATGCAGTAGGGGCAGAGCACTCCCTATTTGTTTCACCAAATGAAGAAGTAAAGGGTGCCCAACACAGTATGAATCATGTGTGACACAGCTGGCCAAGCCTTTTTTCTCTATTTTGTGGTATCCGTGGGTAGTTCTGCTTGGCATTCATATGCTGGCTTTGCTATTTAGATTTTTTTTTTAATGACACAGGAGGGCCAAAAGTGCCCTGCTTGTTCTTGATATATTGAACAGTTTCCTTACAAGTAGTGGTCAGTTTACTTGCAAAAGAAGGAGAAAGAAAATAAAAGAACTGAGGAAAGAAAAAATTGGATTGAAACAACGTAAGTAAAAAAAAATTGTGAAGGCTTAAGGATGAAAAGAGATACATTGGCAGTAAGAGCGAGACGCAGTCCGAAGACAGCTTCTCATCCTATCAATCAAGAAGCATTGCATAGCTATTCCATCTTCCCCTCCTCAATGGAACTTCTTTCCAATAACAAAACTATGGAAGGAATGGCAGGAAAACATGGAAAGTTTACAAATGGAAGAAAAGGGGACCTTGCATAAAATTCTACGCCTGCTGCAGAGCATTTGAAAAATGAAAGTCTAATTTTGAAGCACCCAAAGAGTAGCAGCAGCAGAAGAAGATGTGAAACAAAAAAGAAATAGCCCAAGAATCAATGAGAGTAGTAAGAAAAACCTGCTTAGTTGAAGATACAGCAAGAGAAGAAGTGTATGGGACAAATCCGGCTTAATTCCTTTGAAGTCAAGGCTGGGGATCCTGTAGTGCTCCAGATATGGCTGAACTCCCATCAGCCATATCTATTACTTCCCATCAACAATTGTCAGCATAGTTGTCAGTATAGTTGTTCGTGGATGCCAGATGTGGCCCATGGGCTGTAGTTTGGAGATTTCTGGGCTAGATGAAGAAAAATAAGGCCCTAGTCCAGAGTCGACCTTCCAGGTCTGAATCCTGCCTGCTCATCTGCAAGGATATTTTCTGCTTGTAACCAGTCCTCTAATTTCCCTAACAAATGGTGTGTATATAGTTTGCTGATAATATTTAGCAAACTTATCAGGCAATAGTTGGCAGGGTCCAATCTGTTTCCTTTCTTGAATACTGGAACTATAATGGCCAGACCCCAGTCCTCTGGAATGGATGCCGTGTGATTGATCCAAGTAAATAAGGATGCCAGAACTGGGACCCACCAGTCCAAATTAGCCAGTAATCCACTCCAGGGGCTTTACTCGTTTTAATTGGTGGGTCAATGTAGAAATTTCTAGGGTCGAAACCGGAGGCCATTCGGCTAGACATACCAGATCTTTCTGGCATCCTGGAGCACTTTCCAGATATCCTGTGTAAATGCTCTGAAAGTGTGCCTCCCAACCATTGGGTGAGATACAAAAACCATGTTTAGTTGAATAATTGCTCATACCTCCTACCCCTATCCTGCACAAGGAGTCTAAATCCTTTAAGTTACATGCAGTTATGAGACGCTGCCAAGTCTGTCTCTCTCTGTGTCTGGTGCTTTTTTCTCTTAATCAAAGCTTGATAGTTCTTCTTCAGT